TTTAGCAGAAACGCAACCATGTGTTTTGTTTTTAAAGCAAATGAGGAAACGACAGTTCAGCCTGTGCCGCTCTCGAGTGAGACCCGCCCTTTAGCGGAACAGGGGCGGATGCCAGCTCCTCGCCCCTGTGACCTGGGAAGGTACCCGTTGGGATCAGACGTGGAGAGGAGGAGGTGACCCGCCACCTTGACCTTAAGGGTCGCAGGGCTGGAAATGGGGGCAGGGGAGAAGGGAGGGGAGCAGAAAGCTGCAGGGGTGAAGCTGAGGGGAGGAGGCCGGCCAAGAGGGTCCCCTGGCCCTGGCTGGCTCTGAGCCGCCCAGGGATTCTTGGAGGACCCACCCTCACGCCTCTCCCTGCCCCCACCCCTGAGGGTAAGGCAGCCTCCCGCTGCCGGAATTCTGGGGGCACCTGGACTTCCTCATTTGCTCACTGCCACCCTCCTGGGTCACCAGAATGCCCCCAGCCCTCTCTGGGGCAACACCCACCTGGCAGAGCTGGGGGGCTCTGAGAGGGGCTTCTCCTCCAGATCTGAGTGATTGGGGTACACCTGCCCAGGGACACGCCTTCCTACCCCCCTCACCAGCCCCCCCAAACCCCACAGGAAGCCAAGCGCTCTTCATTACCCCTGTCCCTGGAGGCCCCCCTTCCCCAGCCTTGTCTTCTCCACTTCCCACAGGGTCATGCAGGGCTTGGGGACGGGTCCACCAGCAGACACCCCCTCGCCAGCAGCCAAGGTCATGAGGATGGCGCTCTGATGGCAGGGTCCCCAGCTGGGGGTCTTTTTCCCCCCAGGGTGCTGGGCTCCTCACCTACCTCCTGCTCCATGGAGAAGATGCTGGTGGCTAGGAGAGAGGGGAGGGTGAGCCCAGGGTGGGGGGAGCCAGAGACCACCCAGAGAGCCTCCCACTGAGGCCAGATGGGGGCCTGGGAACCACCAAGCACCTTTGCTCACAAAAGCTCTTCAAGTCTCCATTTCATATCACCGGCCCATTTTGCAGATGGATAAACAGTGGCCCAGAACAGAGAAGTAGCAACTGGGTCACATACGCCCTGAGTGCCTGGTCTGAGCCCGAAGCCCGAGCTTTTTCCTCTCTGTCCTGTGCTTCCAGAGGTGTCTGTGCTTCCAGGTCCTGCCTCTCCTGTGTCCCCGGTGGGCTCACCCAGTGTGGCCAAACAGGACAGCAGCAGGAGCACCATGCTTCTGCCGCCGTGGGGCCCTCTGCCCAGGCTCAAGAAGCTCCCTCAGAGAGGATTACCTCCCCTCTGGGGCCCCCTGGGATGCTCCCGGGAGGTGCCTGCAGCTGGGGGATAACATGGCCCCCGCGCCTGTGGCCTCAACGGCCAGGGCTGGACCCAGAGCAGCGGATGCTCCCACAGCCCAGAGGGAGCTGGAGCAAGTCTGGGCCTTGGAGCCGCCACTGCTGAGCTGCTGGCCCCTGGCCTTGCTGGACAGAACATGTCCACATCCTGACTTCTGGCCTGCGTCCGATAGCTGCAAGGGGGATTGAGTTTGCTGACCTGCAGAGTTTGAGGTGGGGACATCATCCTAGATTATTGGGATGGGCCTGGCGTAAGCACAGGGTCCTTCTGAAGCTCCGTAGGGGGCGGTGGTCTGACACACGGGCAGAGAACCGGTGGGCTGAACCCGTTAGAGAAGCAGGTAGGAGAGCAACGTCACCCATCTCATGCTGCTTCATTCGTGACCACCTTTTGGGTGCCTGCTAGGTGGCCAGTGCCAGGCTCAGCAGCCCCCAAATTAAATCTCCAACTGGGCGAGGCCCCGGTCAGCCCAGGAGTGTGGTCTAGCAGGTGCCATGCTTATGCACTGCCCTTGAGCTCCGAGGGGGCGGGGCCCGTCCTCATGCTTGAGAGACAGGGGCATGTCTCTGTCAGTGGCCAGCAGCAGAGCTCACGGATCTGGAAGGAGGGGTGGGAGCGAGCAGAGCCTCCCAGAGCCAGGACACCTTGGGGAGCCCTGAGGCCAGGGCAGGGCTGGACCGCTCAGGGCTCAGGACTCGGGGCAGCCCAGGGCCGAGAGAACAGAGGTGGGGTGCGTGAGGTGGGGGCCGGGACCCAGCCAACCCCACGGAGGCCACCGGCACCCCCGTCTGTTCCCGGCTACGGGGCTCCTCCCCGGCCGGGCCTGGGGCTGTGCGGGGAGCCCCACTTGGACGCCTTCCTCGGGGAAGGTGTCCCGCGCCCAGGGAAATGCCACTTCTGTTCTCTCCCACAGAGCCCCCAGGTCGGCCCACTCCCACGCCCTAGCACAGCTGGCCGGTCCAGGAGCGAACACCTGACCCAAGGAAGGCCACTTACAGCCCTGCCCCAGGTCCCCTCATCTCAGGGGGTGTGTGGGGAAGCTGGTCTGACAGGGTGATGCTTCCTGCCTGGGCGTCCCAGAGCTCACACGGGGACTAGCTTGGTCAGCCACCTTGGTGGTCCCCTTTCTCCCCAGCTTCTGTCGCTTGCGCCCCACAGTCCTGATTCACGCCTGTGGGGACGTGCCCACCTACATTTCCACCTTTAGTTTCTCCCGTCTGGCTTCTGCTGAAGGGGGTTGGGGGAAAGAAATCAAGAAGTCGAGAGCTGAGAGGGGCCAGAGGGGTCCTCTCGCCGCTGGCAGTCTGTTGCTGAGGCCCCGAAGCGTGCGTGTTTCTGCCGCGTGTGCTCGGGGGATCGACAGCGGTGGGCTGTGAGCTTGTCAGCCCCAGGGGGCTGATTCTCCGGGCTGCCCGGTCTCTCCTCTCCACAGGCTGCAGGTAAAACAGGCCACCTTGACTGAGTGGCCTTTGGGGTGTCCCCAAAGCTCTCCAGTCACCCACCGCAGCCTGACGGTTTGTGAGTTTTGCCCTCCTAGGGCCCGACTCCTCTGTGACGAGTGGCCTTGCCAGCATCTGATTTCCCTGTCACGCTCCGGGAGGGTCCCGTCGGGTGGCAGTCTTTCCCGGGCTGCCTCAGCCGACCTAGCTGCAGGTCATGTAGCTGGGAGCCCTCTCAGGCTGGGTGGGGCGAATCCGGGACCCCTCAAGGTGGGGGTGCTGGGCCCGCTGCTCTCCTCCACCTGCTCTTGTACCTGGGAGACCCCCACCTACTGCAGCCCCCCCACAGGTCTCTCCCTGCCCCCATGTGCGTTCTTTGCTACTGGCAGAGTAGGTATATCATGTCATGTCCCCCGGGTCCCCATTGCCTACAAAAGGTCATCCAAGCCCATGGCACACCCCATAGGTGAGCTGGTCCACCCTCGCTCTGACTGTCCCCACGCACCCACAGCCCAGGCCAGGGGCCGCAGGCCCCAGTCTCCCAGCCCAGCCCCGCTCGGCCCATCCCCACACCTTTGCTCAGGCTGTTCCTTCTGCCTCCTCCTCCCGTCCGAATCCTCCCTTCCTCCCTGCTAGTCACGTGCTCCATGACACCTCCTGCTGGAAGGGGTGGTCCAGCCTCTGAGCCTCCTGCCCCCAGGTCGTCTTGCCGGGCAGTCGTGATCACGGGGGCCTCAGGTCTCTCCCACCTGGCTCTCTTAGACCGACGACCAGATTGCAGTGGGCCATGCCCACAATGCACGTAAGGACGCCCACTGGGACACTTTAAATAACGGCTGACTTAGTCTTCACAGCCACTCAGGAGGGTGGTGCCAGACCCATGCCAAGGCTGTGCCCGGAATGCGAGTTCGCTGCCTTCCCCACAGCCTCCAAGCTCGTTTGCTCCCTCACAGCTCCCAGGGAGGGCGCCTGGCCTCGCACCTGGCTGGTTCTCAGTAAACATCCCCCAGAAGGACACGAGGCGGTCGGAAGAGGACCTAGATGGTTCTGGGCAGTGGTTCTCCCACGGAGGCGCCCCTCAGCATCCTCCCAGGGGCTCAGCCGCTGGCCCTCCCCTTAGAGTTTCTGATCCAGTCCAGGCTGGGGCCTGAGAATCTGCATCTCTAACAAGCTCCCAGGTGATGCTGACGCTGCTGGTCGGGGACCACACTTTGGCCCTAAGTTGCTAATTATCACCACGCATCCCCTTCCCGTCGGCCAGGCTGGCTGCCCTGCCCAGACGGAGCACCGAGCTCTCTTCCCCTTGTAGGCTCAATGCCAGCCCCAGAATAGGGCCCCCACGTGTTGACAGCCTGATGGGTCTTGTGATGCTGGGCACTGGGCGAGCGAGAGAACCAAGCCTTTAATGACCATAGGAAGCCTCCGGCCCGAGGGCGGTGGGCCAGAGCTGCCCAGACACTGCGTCTGGGCCTGAAACCCAGCCAGGCGCTGGGCCCCTGGTGGAGACGTCCGGGGGCTCCTCCTGACCCTCCCTCCTGATAATTCTTTAGACCAGTTCTCAACCCCGGCTGCAGGTAAGTCACCCGGGGCTGCGGAAAGCCCCGATGCCTGACTGCTGGCTGCGCCTGGGTCAGTGTATCAGAGTCACTGGCCCGGGGCCAGCTTCTGACAGCTTCTCGAGTATTCTCCAATGCTGAGTTCCATGGATTTAATCACTGCAGCTTTGGGCCAGAGGCTTCAAAAAGGAAGATTCCACAGGCTTAGGAACCTTGGACCCAGTCTTAGATGGCATCCCAGCCTCGCCCACCTCCTGGTGGAACATCTTCACCCCCACTCTTCCTCAAGGCTGGCTCGGCCGGGGGTACAGAGAGGGTGGAAGGACCGTTCCTGCGGAAGGCACGGTGAGGGGCCTCTTTCTGCTCTCCCGAGAGCAGTCCCTTTTGGATGCAGGGTTGCTGGCTTAGAGCGCAAGGCTGTGAGGAATCTTGCTGAGAGGCCAGCTGGACCCGCCGTTACCCAGATTCAGGTGAGCCCCATAAGCCCCTGAGGTCAAGCTGGGGGATCGCTGCTGAGCAGTGTGGCTCTGGAACCAAGGGCCTGGGGTTCAGACGCGGGCTCTGCCGCTTGAAGACTGCCCCTCTGTGGGTCTCCGCTGTCTCACGTGTTTGGAAGGCATACCAGGAGGTTTGTGGGGCACCGCACAGGTAGCACACAGCAAGCCCCCAGTGCAGGTTTGCTCTGTGGCCAGGTGGGGCGGCCTCCAGATCTTATGATGGCACCACTCACAGCAAACGATTTCTGAGCACTCCCAATGGATATATATTTATAAACTGTATTCAGGGGTTACTATACTAATAAATTATATACATTATAAAACATTCAACAGAAACAAATTTTCAAGGAATGAGATAAAAGTGTAAACACAAGTTCCCACCTTTTCTTCCTGCTGCCCTTGGGTGTGTGAACCCCGCTTTGGGGCGCCCACTGAGAGTAGCGGGGGTCACCAGGGCGCAGGAGCGTGGGGGCCGCCCTGGGCAGAGGCGGAGTCGGTGCTACTGATCCGCACCGCTGGGGAAGCGGAATCTACAGGTGGGATCCGCGAGGGGGCGCCCCGGCCTGGGGGGCCGGGAGGCCGGGGAGCCCGGGCACGGGGATCCCGGGCAGAAGGATCGCGGGCGCGGAGAAAGAGCGTGAGGCGACTCTGGCAGCAGCCGCGACAGGTGTTCCACCAGGTGCCACTTCTCCTGGACTTGCTGCAGCAGAGCGAGCGGCTGGTTAACAGAGGCGCCTCCTCCCACG